GCTCCTTAAAAGCAGTATATAAATAACACTTCTGCAAATCAAATTGTGTATTTCTACCTACCAGCCACTCCTCGGAAGGAAGGTTGGGCAATCTACTTCCATAGTGGTACCGCCTTGGAAACCCCAGGAGGGGTCCCTATGAGTTGAGTCCGACTCAATGGCACATAACAACAACACTGAGCAATGGTTCTAATAGGGGTTGTAGGAGGTTAAATCATCTGGGATACTCTTTTAAAATATATATCCTTGATCAACTCCTTACTTACGTGGTGCATATCAGATCTGAGAGGTTACTGATGTACATTCAAAAAGCTGTCCCTAAAATTCTGACCCTCTGTCCACTCCCAACATTAAGTACTACTGACTTAAATGACATTTTTAATAGACTGAGCAGGAAGCTCCTAAGAACTCCTGAAAAGCATGCTTTTCCCTCTCATCCTAACTCCATGCTTCACAAAACAAATGACCAGAGACTTGGCCCACAGAGGTGATGAGAACTGATTATCTACCTCCCATCAGGATTAATCTCATTAAGCCTACATCCCTGTTTATGCCATTCACTACATAGGCTAACAGAAATCTGTCTGTCTTCTGATGATACTGCCTCCCTTGCAAACCTTTCAAGGGGTAGATTCATATATTTTTTATTGTGATTTGGGTGAAAGTTTACAGAGCAAATCCACTTTCCATACAGCAATTCACATACACTTTGTCTCATGACATTGACTATAATTTACTACAATGCAACAGCTCTCCTCCCACTTTCTCCCCATAGTTACCTCTTTCCTGTGTCTATCCCTCCATGCACTCTTGCCCCCTAAGCTGTCTCCCTGTGCATACACAGCACTTCTATTCTCCCATAATTGTTCTCTCCAAGGAGTATATCTACCTAGTGTAAACATTCACCTCATATGCCTATCTTTTGTTTGGCTGGAAGCCACAGGAGTAGATTCAATTCCAGACCTGAAGGGCAGCTAGGGTCCATAGTCTCAGTGGTTCCATCAGACTCTATCAGACCAGCAAACCTGGTCCTCCCCCAATCCCAAATGATTTTGAGTTTTGTTCCTCATTGTTCTCCCACTCTATCCAGGATCTGCTACATAGCTCTCCCTCCAAGTGGTTGACAGTGGTAGCTGGGCACCATCTAGTTCTTCTGGTCTCAAAAGTTGTATAGGCTGAGGATCGCATGGTGTACCAGTCACTTGGACTAATTGTTTCCATGAATCTTTGGTTTTCTTCATTCTTCTTGCTCTGGATGAGAGACCCATTGTTGCATCTAGATGGCTGCTTGCAAGCTTTTAAGATCCCAGTCACTACTCACCAAAGTAGGAGGTGGAACAATGTTTTGTGTAGTATGTTATGCCAACTGAGCTTGATGTCCCCAAAGATATGGTCCTGAGCCCACAGGTCCAACTACTCACCCCCTCTGGGTAGCTGGCTGTGGCCAAGCAGTGACTACAACCTTGTCCCTTGTTACCTCCACTATATACCTGGGAATTCTTCCAGAACATATCAATACATTTGTAGAAACATTGTCTGCCAACTTTATACATGGTCTGAGCACACCCCCCGGCAACCACTGCATAGACATACCTAATAGTTCAGCCTGCAAAGGGTAGATATTTTTGATCCCAGAATCCAATACCCTGGCTCCAGAGGTGGGGTAGGTATCCCCTGCTCATTTGTAATATCCAGATTATTGTTTCCTCTTTCTTTCCCCAGGTCCCTTGAGCTCGTACCATCAAACCACAGTATATAACTCCTTACCTTCCTCACTGTAGTCAATCTCAGTCTCCATCTCTCTACCATGATTTCTGTCATTTTTCTGAGTGATCTTAATAACTGATCCATTTAAAACCCTAGGCTCTAAATTTTGACCTGCTCACCTCCACTTACCTTTTTACCACCACTTTGACTACCCACTCTTACGGTCACATGCTAGAGCTTATCATGACCAATATCTAAACTTTCCTCAAAACTCAATTTCAAGCACTCCATCCCCTGACCACCAGTTCTTATCTTTCCTGTTCACTACTGGTATCCATACTAATAGCTCTTTCACCTCAGCAGGATCTCCAGACTATTAACTCTACCATCTTTTCTCTATCTATCACCTGTTTGGGTCCCTTCAACTTGAATTACATATCACTCCTTTGTATATACACTCAATTCTCTTTTTCTTCTTTTCTTTGTACTACCTGGCAAAACCTCAACCTTGGTTAAAGTCAACTTTCCACCAAGCAGTTGAATGTAGCTAGATGAAAAAGTCACAGCTATGCTAACTAAGTTTTACTTTAAGTTCATGAGTCATATCCAAAGATAGGGTCTCAGTGCTGTCTGCCAATCCTACTACAAGCCACTCATCAGTTCAACTGTCTCATTCTCCTAGGAGACTATTTCATGAAACCACTAACACTCCTTCCTCTGCTTAGCTGATAATACCACCACTTCTTTCACAGAAAAAAAACAAGAGTAATCAGAAAATAATGTCCACATTCACCCACCACAAAATTCTCCCACTTGGATGGCTCTTCTTTCAGATATCCACAAGGCTTCAGGTCTCTGCTCAATTTCACCTTGTCACAAAGACCTTTGCTGGTTACTATCAAAACCAGCCCTCTATTCCTTTGTCCAGCTTTATTTTTTTTCTTCATAGCACTCATCATACCTGACATATATACACTTATTGTCTTTCCCAAGCACTCCACACCCTCGCTATGCTGTATAAGCTCCACAAAAGAAAGATTTAATCTGTTTGGTACCCAGAGCAGTACCTGGCAAATATTAAGTACTTATAAATATTTACTGAATGAATGCAAAAATATCCAAATACAAAATATATTTGTCTTTCTTAAAGAAGTAAGTACTTTTCATTGTAAAATTATAGTGTTTAGTTGTCCTTAAAGGACTGCAGTTTCTCCTAATTTTCAATGTGATTCTCCCTTGCTGGAGACAACATAGTATAGGGACAAGTACAGTCCTGAAAGGGGGGTGGCGGTGGGAGTAGGTGGTAGGCGGGAGAACATTTGGCTTTTAGTATATCTCTGTCACTAATTAGCAATGCCATTTAGGGTGAGTCATTTAACCTCTCATTTCCATGAGGGAATGTGAGAGTACTTTTATTTTTATCTAAATAAAAGAAATACACCAAAGCACAAATCCAGTGAAAATCACTCACCACACATACCAACATCCTTTTCCCATTCTAAGTTCACTGACAGGACTTAACAGTGTATAAAATAAAATCAGAGTTTTCATAATAAATAAGCTGTTAGTATATGACAGATTTCTTGGTCAGAATAAAATTACTCTCAAAATTCAAGATGATATTTTTAAAGTCAATTAAATGGGTTAGTCACATACTAATTATGAAAACTTTCTAATTATAATTCAGTGTGCAGAAAAACATGCCTAATATAAATGGATTATAGATAATCCCCAGGATGGTTAAGAACATCCATTCCTGTCTTGCAGAATTTGTAGGTTAAGTTGGGACAGCCTCTCATATAGTTCTTATTTAAGTCTTACTTTAGTACAAAAAAAGGAGCTCTGGTGGTGCAGTGGTTAAAGCATTTGGCTACAAACCAAAAGCTTGGCAGTTAGAATCTACCAGGCACTCCGCAGGAGAAAGATGATGCAGTCAGCTTCCATAAAGATTTACAGCCTTGGAATCCCTATGGGGTTCTACTCTATCCTATAGGGGCCACTATGAGTTGGAATGGACTTGATGGCAGTAGGTTTTTAGTGCAAGAAAAGGTCTGAAATGTTTCCAATGATTTAAAATCTAAATATGTAGCAAATACAGCAAGTGAAGGTGATTGTGATGAAGAATTTGTTGCCAGTAGTGGGTGATTCAGTGGTTTCAAAGTGAGGGCAAATTTATGTAACATTAAAGTCAAGTTGGATGCTCGTAACCTGGGGACTGCCTGTGTATGTATTTACCTAATATACAGAATTGTACTTGGGTAAGTCAGTTATTAATTGTATTTTGAAAGCTGCTACTTGTTTTTCAAATTCAAACAGAAAAAATACTTGGTTATGTCCACAAACTAATGAAAACATACTGATTCATACATGTTACTAATTGAATGAACACAATCTCATTCCTATCTGCAAGCAGTAAATTCAATAGATTTTTCTGGATAAAAACATCCCCAACTCCAACAAAAAAATGCAAACCATATTGTCAAGCAAAATATTTTTAATTAGTAGGCAGATCATAAATAAATCCACATAAAAGATTTAACAGAATTACAAAGAGTTTTGTGTTTCTTTTGTGGACTCAATTCATAATACGCATTAGTCAATCTCATTCTCTAACTGTGACAAAAAGAGTTGTCATCCAACAATGCAGCACAGTGTAAGCAATTCATAGTCTGTAGTTACATTTTTACATTTTCTTTACAAATGTAACATTTATGTACATCATATATATATATATATGTATATATATATATATATATATTTTCTATAGTTCATGTACTGAAATTCTATTGTTTTTACAGGGAAAATGTTGAATTCATTTAATGAATACAAATCATTCCTTGTTTAAAAAGTAATTCGTAAAAACAAATAACATGGTACCATTGCCTTTTGGCATCTCTTATCAGAGTTCAAGTCCAGAAATGTTCTATTAATTTAAAAAAAAAGAATTTATCCAATTGTGCATTATGACATATCATTCCATGTAGCTACATAAATTTGCCAGCTTGCAATTAACAGAGAGCACTATACTGCTGCACTACTGGAAATGTGTATAAACCAATTCAAAATATACTTGGTGAAAAGGCATCATCATTACCATTAATTTAGGGTGAAGAAAATCTGTCAAGTTCTTTCTTCCCCTTTACCTTTTGCCAAAGCTTCAGACAGGGTGCTATATGTATTGTGTCTTGAGACAATAAATGCCTTCATTTCAAATTTCTTTTATGTGCTTCTCTGACAGATTATGCATTACCTAAGTTATAGATCTTTTTCTTCTTGTTCAATTTTATTCCATATCACTTACAAATCTGCTGCTGAATGTGAAGCAAAAATTCATAGTAAGAGAATGCAGCTTCTGTCCGGTCTTCAATCAAATGTTGAAAAAATTCTGTTTTGGCAGGGCTCTCATCTCTGAAAGAGAGAAAAAAGGATGTTTATCTAAAAATGCACGTTAATAAAAAGCTAAGAATAATCATACTACATTAAAAAAGTACTAACATAAAGGGACTTGGGGAAAATGGAACAATGGGGCTAATAATCAAGTAACAACATTCTACCACAATATATTCTCATAAAATTATATAAACTTTGCTTCGAAGACAAGCAATTTTCATAGACTGCACAAGAAAAGATAATTTCATAATGAAACTTCAGAAGTACTTACTTTACCACATGAAGAATAGGGCTTAACGGTCTACTGTCTCTAAGCCAAGTTATAAAGGATCTAGCTCGTTCTGATGAAAGTGTATCTAACTCTGGAAGCTGTGTCTGGTAAAAGAAATGTAAGTAGAAATTATTTCTGATCTTATAGGCTTTAGCAGTATTAGAAATAAATGATGACTCCTACTACTAAAAACCAGTTGCCAGTTACTCTATTTCTTAGCCCCCAACAGTAGCAACCCAACAAACAGTAAATTCTTGCCAAATTGGTCTATATTTTTCTGTATAACTCAATAAAACAAACACAATAATTAGTAGATTACTGAGACAGTGTCATTATGCTTCTCTTAAAAATATATTAAAATGTCATTTGGAGGAAAAAAAAAGGGGGGGGGGACCAGGTTTGCTGGTCCGACAGAGCCTGGTGGAACCACTGAGACTATGGCCCCTAGCTGTCCTTCAGGTCTGGAATTGAATCCATACCCATGGTTTCCAGCCAAACAAAAGACAGGCATATGAGTTGAACATTTACCTCAGGTAGATACACTCCTTGGAGAGAACAATCATGGAAGAAAGAAGGGCTGCTTATGCACAGGGAGACAGCTCAAGGGGCAAGAGTGCTTGGAGAGATGGACACTGGGAAGAGGTAACTATGGGGAGGAAGTGGGAGGGGAGCTGTTGCATTGTGGTAAACTGTGGTCAATGTCATGAGACAAAGTGTATGTGAACTGCTGTATGGAAAGTGAATTTGTTCTGCAAATCTTCACCCAAATCACAATTAAAAAAAATAAATAAATAAAGTGAAGGGAATTACTTCTAAGTTTCAAATCCACTTAACCCTATTATAATTTCTTTTTAAAAAAAAAACAAAAAACAAAAAAACCACTAATTATTCTATAGTCTAATAATAGCCATCCCAGGAGAATTTCATGTTTCCTTTAGTTCTTAAAATTTAAGGACAAGGAATTTTAAAGACTAATTTGGATGCCTGTGCCATACGATCTTTTGCAAACTACATATGTTAGTTTCCTGTGTGCACGATAGGAGTTTTATGAATATGCATCATACGTGAAAATATGGTAAATATATTCTCAAACCATTTGAGAATTTTCTCACTTTCAATTCGAAACTGGTCTCAGTCACTATTTGCATAGAAAATTTAATCCTGATCTTTTTAATAATGACAGTTGGAACAACTTGACTGTCCCTGTATCAGGTTGCCTAAGGCATCTGACTGCTAACCGGTGGTTCAAACCCACCAGCCACTTTGTAGAAGGCAGACTGGACAATCTACTTCCGTAAAGATTTACCACCTCGGAAACACAAAGGGGGTTGCTGTGAGTTGGAATCAACTCGATGGCAATGAGTTTGGTTTGTTTTTTTGGTATACTGCTACTGTCAACATGGTTCTTTTCTAGCATTAAAGTAATATAGTCTTACAGAATAAAACTAAATATGAGAATAAAATAAACCCTCTCATGCCTAAACATATGGATTTATAATACTTTAGTATTAAGAGTCTAAACACTTAGATATGGAAAAAACCCAAGAAATCATTTAATGATGTGACTTGCCTAAAACTATACACAGAGTTAGTGACAAAAGCAAACTAGAAGCCTGGCTTCTTAACTTCTACTCTTTCTTTTATTGGATCAAACTATTTTACTTTAGGCTGAAAATTATTTCACTAGTCCATTTAACGTTATAGCTTCCTTTTAATTCTCTAATAGAAGACAAACATCCCTACCATTTAAGAAAAGCTTACCTAAATAATATACCTGCAGTCTTTTCCAACAGCATACTACTGTTTCAGTAACAAGGGGGTAGAGAGAGGGTAGGGGAAACAATGAGTTTAAATTATTTAGTTTGTTTTTAAAAAGGTGGTATTTAAATGCTTATGAGTTGTAAGTCTTCATTTATTTGCCCTCTGCTGAGTAATGGATGAAGTTCAACTTTGTAATAAATGTAAGTGAACAAATTTTCTTATTCTAAATGAATGGAATACTATTTCAAAACAGCTGTCCTAGTAGTTTTATGTGATGGTGACAATTAAAGCAAAAAAAGCAAGAAATAGGAAAAGTGGTTGTGGAATTTGTGTTTCCCCAATCAATCTTATTTCAGGGAAAGAACTAGTGCCATTAACCTAACACACCCCAACTGCGGTTATTCAGCTAACATTAAAATTATACTATCCACATTGCATTCCAAACAAAATCTGTTGCCCTCTCACTCAATTCAAATAGTGGTTATCTACTTGATAGAAGGGAAGTCACAGTTCTTCAAATTTGATTACCACAAGGTCCTTTTCTTTATTAATAGGAAGGCTTAGTTAAGTTGGGGCAATAACTTAAAAGCTGAATATTACCAGTATTTTCTAAGTCTGTTCTCTACATTTTTTGTATATACTATTGCTCTAGTATACAACGGCCACTATTTAAGAAGTACAGAGCATTAGAAGCTGAGTGCAAAGTTATTTTAGAAAGAACTGAAAGTCTATTCTTTTTACCAAAACAACAACAAAGATATTTTTTACTTTTCAAAGTCAATTTAACAGTAAATGATTCAAAGTATATATTACGTGATAAAATTTAAAAGGAAAAGTTTAGGTTAACAATATTCATAATTCATGCTGAATGTTAAAAAAAAAAAAAAACCCAACAATTCAGATGTATATAATGTAAAAAGTTCTTAAACTCCTCTATACCTCATTTCCATTCTTATGTGAATGTTTTCAGGTATTTTCTAAGTACACATAGCTGTTGTTAGTTGCTGGCAAGTTGATTCCGACTCACGGCCATCCCATATGTGCAGAACAGAACTAGTTTCACAGGGTTTCCAAGCTGTGACCTTTTGGAAGCAGAGTGCCGGGAAGGTCTTCCGAGGTTCCTCTGGATGGGTGCAAATCGCCAACTTTTCAGCTAGCAGGTGAGCGCATTTATTCCGCTCAGGGATATATTTTTTGAAAATACAAACGGGATCATACCATGCATGTTTCTCTTCGAACTTTATTCTTTTTAATAACTAACACTGCAAGCTTTTGTGTGTTTACATATACAAACTTCTACGAATACATTTACGACATATTTTCTTAGAAGTAGCGTAATTTACTGTGTCATAGAGTGTGCGATTTTAATTTTGACAGATGTCAACTTGCTCTCCAAGAAGGTTCTATTAATGTGCACTTGAATCGATAGTGTTTGAAAGCACCAGATGTCCTATATCCCTTAAATTATGTTCTATTATAAAACTTTATATCAATTTGGTAGACGAAAAAATGCTATGTTTCTATTCTATTACGTGTTCCTTAATTATGATGTGGCTGAACATCAATTCATATGGCCACTTCTATATTATCCCTCGGGAGCTCTAGTGGCATAGCGCCTAAGGCACTTGACTGCTAACCAGAAGGATGGCAGTTCAAACCCACCAGCCAGTCCTCAGAAGGAAGACTGGGCAATCTACTTCCGTAGAGATACTGCCTCCATGATATTGCCTATTCAACCCTTTGCTCATTTTCTTGTTTTTTTGGGGGGGAGTATCTTTTTCTTAGGAGTCCTTGGGTGGTACAAATGATTAACGTACTCACCTGCTAATTGAAAAGTTGGTGGTTCTTATCTACCCAGAGATGCCCTGGAAGAAAGGCCTGATAATCTATTTCTGAAAAATCAGCCACTGAAGATCCCACTGAGCACAGTTCTACTCTGACAAACATGGGGTTGCCATGAGTCAGAGTCGATTTCACGGCAACTGTTTTTTTTTTTTTTTTTAATCTTATAGATTTATGAGAACTTGTATTAGAGAAATTAGCCCCTTTTCAGTTATATGAGTTGTAATTTTCCCATTTTGCTGTATTACTTTTGTCTTTTTTTTAATGGAATAGAAATATTTTATTTTTATTCCTCAGATTTATTATTTCCATCACTGACAAAACTTGCTTACAAAGGCCTTATCAATTTAGATATTATGAAGAAATCAGATATAGTCATAAATGTTTCTTCTAGTAATCCTTTCCTTTTTTATGTTTAAATGTTTGATCCATGTGAAAATTATTTTGATGTAAGGAATAAAGTAAAGATCCAGCATTTCTCCCTGCTAATGTAAGGTTGAGCAATCCTACTTCTGTAGTGATACTGCCTGGGAAACCCAAGGAGTGGTCGCTATAAGTTGGGGCCGACTCAATGGCACATAAGAACAACAACAACAATGCCTAAAGAGTGGTCCTAAAAGTATTTTTCTAATATTGTGTATTTTAAAAAGCTAGTATTTTATTGTGTTTTAGGTGAAAGCAAATTAAGTTCTCATTTAACAATTTTTATACAAATTGTTCCAAGACACTGGTTACAATTTTCACAATCAGCATTCTATTATTTCTATTCTGTTTGTTCTTGTTCCACTGATCTAGCTTCCCTTACCCTCTCTGCTTCTGGATAAATGTTGACTGTTTGATCTTATTCAGCTGTTTAAGGGTACACATAAATCATGTGTGATACTGTTTATTTTACAAACCAATCAATTCTTTGGAAGAAAGGTGACCTCCAGAAATAGCTCAGTTCCAAGATCAAAGGGTTTTTTAGGGCAATACTCTAAGGGGTCCTCTAGTCTTCATCAGTCCCATCCAGTTCTCTTTTGCTCCATATAAGTAGAGACCAATAGTTTTATCTCAGATGGCCGTTCACAAGCTTTTAAGACCCTAGATGCTACTTACTAAACTAGGATGCAAAACATTATCTTTATGAACTGTTACACTAATTGACCAAGTTGTCCCCCTAGACTATGGTCCTAAGCCTTTTAATCCAGTAAACCAATCCCACAAGTTGTCCTATATACTTTGTTATATTTATGGATATATCTGCAGCACATACAAATGTGCTAAATATGCTTACAGATATGTGTATGTGCATTTACTTGCATATGCCTCCTATACACATGTAAGCATACGTATCTGTCTTTTTCTTGTGTACATCTTAAGTGTCTTTATTTACTTACTCCAGTTGTGTGGACTTATTTGGTATTGCCTTCCCACCACCGAAAATAATAAGTGTCTACTATGTAGAAAATATTTCCCCCATCTCTGGTAACTATCAAAGAACATCACTTTCTGTGTGGATATCTACTCTTGACTTTTTATAGTAGCGGACCACATAATACTTGTCCTTTTGTGATTGACTTATTTCCCTCAAGGAGCTCTGATGACACTGTGGTTAAGGCATTGGGCTGCTAAAAAAAAGGTTGTGATTTGAACCCACAAGCTGCTCTGTGGGAGAAAAATGAGGCAGTTTGCTTCTATGAACATTTACAGCCTTGAAAACTCTATGGGGCAGTCCTCCTCTGTCCTAGAGGGTCACTATTAGTCAGAATCAACTCAATGGCAGTGGGGTTTTTTTTGGGGGGTGGGGAGGAGTGGTATCTCACTCAGTGTAATGTCCTCCAAATTCACCTACCTTGTAAATATTTCATGGACTAATTTTTCTTCATAGTTGCATGGTATTTCATTGTATGTATGCACTACAGTTTGTTTATCCATTCATCCACTGATAGGCACTTAGGTTGTTTCCATCTTTTTGGTATTGTTAATAATACCGCAGAGAACATGGGTGTGCATATGTGTACTCACATCATTGCTCTTATATCTCTTGGATATATACCTAGGACTGGGGTTGCTGGATCATAAAGTATTCCTATTTTAGATTTTTAAGGAAGTGCCACACTGTTTTGTATAGTAGCTGTAGCATTTTACAATCCCACCAACAATGTAGAAGAGTTCTAATTTCTCAAATAACCTCACCAGCATTTGTTGTTTTCTGTTTTTTATCACTGTTATTTTTGCAAAAATGAGAAAGTATTACATTGTAGTTATACTTTGCATATCTCTAACGGCTAATGCTCGTGAGCATCTTCTCATGCATTTGTTGGCCACCTGACTGTCCTCTTTGGTGACATGTCTGTTAGTGTCCTTAGCCCAATTTTTGATTGGACTATTTATCTTTTTGTTAAGTTGTTGATGTTTTCTACGTATTTTGGAGATTAGACCCTTCTCAGATGTGTCATTGCCCAGTCTGTAGGTTCTCTCTTTACTCTTTGGTAAAGTCTTTTGATGAGCATAAAAACTCACTGCCATTGAATCGATGATACTCATAGCGACCCCCTTTGGGTTTCTGAGACAGTAAATCATTACGGAAATAGATTGCCTGGTCTTCCTTCTGTGGAGTGACTGGTGGGTTTGAACCACCAACCTTCTGGTTAGCAGTCCAATGCCTTAGGCATTACGTCACCAGAGCTCCTTTTCTTGTATACATCTTGATGAGTACAGGTATTTAATTTTTAGGGGGTCTCAGTTATCTAACTTATTTTCTGTCATTTGTGCATTTTTAGTTGTGTTTGATACTGAAAATTATATCCGCTAGTTTTGTTTCTATGTCATATTCCAGGAACTTTATAGTTTTAACTTTAACACTTAGGTCTCTGACCTATTTTGAGTTGGTTTTCATGTATGGTGTGAGATATGGATCCTGTTTCATTTTTCTACAAACAGATATCAAGTTTTGCCAGCACTAGTTTTTAGAAACACTGATTGTTCCCCACTGAATGGACTTCAACACTTTGTCAAAGATCAGCTGCTCATACATGGATGGATTTACTTCTGGGTTCCAAATTCTATCCATTAATGGTCTATGCGTCTATAATTGAACAATACCAGGCTGCTTTGATTAACATGGCTGCACAGTAAGTTTTGAGATTGGGATGTGTAAGGTCTCCTACTTTGTTGCTCTTCAACACTGTTTTAGCTATTCAGGGCCTCCTTCCTCTCCTTATAAAGTCAGAGATTAGTGTCTCCATTTCATTAATGAATGTTGGGATTTGGATCAGGATTGCATTTTATCTATGGTTCGCTTTGGGTAGTATCAACATTTTTATAATGTTAAGTCTTCCTATTCATGAGCATGGAAGGTTTTTCCATTTATGTAGATCTCTCTTAGTTTCTTGCAGTAGTGTTTTATAGTTTTCCTCATATATATCCCTTACATGTTACCCCGTATAAGTCTTTTACATACCTATTCTTACGTATTTCATCCTTTTGGGGGCTACTTTAAATGACACAGTTTTCTTGATTTCCTTTTCAGAGTCTTCCTCATTACTATAGGGGAACCCAACTGGTTTCTGTGTTGATCATGTACCTGACATTTTGCTGAATCCTTCTATTAATTCCAGTAACTTTTCTGTGTTATCGCTAGAATTTTCTAAAATGGGATCGAGTCATTTGAGAACTAGAAGAGTTTTACTTCTTCGTTTCTAATTTGGATATCCTTTATTTCCCATTTTTGTCTCTGCTCTGGCTATGACTTCCAGTATAATGTTGAATAAGAGTAGTAATAAAGGATATCCTTGTCTCATTCCCATTCTAAGGCGAATGCTCTCAGTCTTTCATTGCGAATAATGTTGGTTGTTGGTTTTGTATATATGCTATTTCATTTTTTGCACAATGATTTGAAATACAATCTTTATCACATTGTAATTTTCATGAACTAGATCTATATCTGAATTCCTTTCTACTCCACTGATCTATTTTCTGTGCCAACATCATAGTACTTAAATAACTACAGCTTTGAAATAAGGTTTATTATTTTACTTAGCTGTACTTATTTATCATATGCTTTTCTCATTCACTAAAATTATTCTCTTTTCAAACTTCTGCTATTATCCTCACTTGTTAATTCTGATATATGAAGTCTGGGGCTAATTTGTCAAATTACAAAAACAAACAAAACAAAATCACAAAATCAATCAAACAAAACACTGTGATAGACATTACACTGAATTTATATAAATTCCAATAGAAGTGACATATTTACAGTATTCAAGAGTAAGGAAGCCTTTATCATTAATTAAATACAACTTTTCAGAATATTTCCCTGGTGTTAGTTAACACACATACAGTAAAGGCCGACTGAAAAAATTGTTTATTATCAGCAAAATTTTTTTTTTATGTTTTAAAAATTTACACAGCCTACCCACCCATGTATCTACTTGTAGATTAATGCTTGCCATCACTGACAACATAGTACTGTATACACAAAAAGGTTCATCTTTGTTGCTTATACCTCCTGTGTATCTCTCTCTCTCTCTGTTTCTCAGTGCCAGTGTTGATCATTCACTTTTGGTACATTATCAGCAAAATAATTTAAATGAAAAGTAAAAGTTCTCAGAAAATAGTCTGGCAGTTTTTAAAAAAGTTAAACATAGAGTCACCTTTTGACATAGCAATTCCATTGCTAGGGCATACACCCAAAAGAACTGAAAATATACGTTCACACAAAAACTTGCACACAAAGTTCATAGCAGCTTTAGTCACAACAGCCAAAAGCTGGAAACAGCCCAAATATCCATCAACATTGGGTGAATGGACTAAAAAAAATGTAGTATATACATAAAATGGAATATAACTCAGCTACAAAAAAGGAATTAAGTACAGACATATGCTCTAACATGGATGAACCTTGAAGATATGCTAAGTCAAAGAAGCCAGACACAAAAGACCATAATTTATGATTCAATTCATGTGAAATGTCCAGAACAGACAAATCCAGAAACTTAAAGTAGATTAGTGTGTGCTAGGGGGTAGGGAGAGGGGAAATCGAGGGTTAAGGGTTTATTTTTGGGAGTGATGGAAATGTTCTGTTGGTTACATAACACTGTGCACATACTATAAAGCACTGAATTTTATATTTTAAAATGGTTAAAATGGTGAATTTTCTGTTGTGTGAATTTTATCTCAATTAAAAAATTAAAAACAAAATGTTGTATAAAATCCACTGACCATTTTCTGTGGTATGGATGCAAAATTAGGATATCCAAGCACATCCTCTATGAAGTTATTGTCACAGCTTTTTCCAATCCAAACGTATAAAATCTAAAAACAAAAAAGCAACAAAATATTAACACTCTCCAATCAGTCAAGCAGCTATGCTGCTGTTGTTGCTATGGTGTGCTATCAAATCGACTTCAACTCACAGAGTTTTGAAGTAGAACTGCCCCATAGGATTTCCTAGGCTACGATCTTAGGGAGAGAGATCATCAGGTCTTTCCTCCCATGTGGCTGCTGGTGGGCTTATACCACTGACCCTTCAGTTAGTAGCTAAGTGCTTAACCAGGGCCTTCCAAAAATAATCATGCATAAAAGAGGTAAAGTGTACAATTTCCAATAAAGTAGGAAGAAACATAAAAATAAAAAGAAAACCTGTAATTGATACATGGTGAATCTAAATCTAGGAATTGAGAGTGGTTCACATCACCTTTGCTGAAATTTCAATGCTTCCATTAAAATTTATTTTACTTTCTTCCTGAATTTTTTCTCAATAGGAATGTAATGCTTTACTGGATAACTGATTTATTCTATAAACTATTTCAATGACTGTCTCTCTAACTCATTGATTTCCCCCTCTCGTGTGTCTACTAAAATCCTTTTCCTTCTCCTAAGAGCATCACTTATGAGGCTATCTTGAAATGCTGACACGCTTTACCACCACCCACCCAATGACTCCTGCACTCAATCAATGTGATTTCTGACAATGGATGTAAGTTGAAGTAGATAAACTCTGCGGTCCCTTTGAATTTTATGGTTCTAAATGGTAAAGTCCTTGAAGGCAGAACCATACCTCTTTATCAAGCACATATAATCCATGATAACCAAGTTCATTAATACATAATAATAAAATGTATTAATCTATGATAAGTAAATTATGTCCAACTACAAAAGTCTAAAATAAATTGACCTTTGTGCGTTACCACTTTATTCCCTCTCAGTTCCTAGTGTACCTTTCACTGCCTGCTCTGTGATAATAGAGCTGGACTCTGTAAGTTTTCTCCTTCTGCCAGCTGGCACAGTGTTAAATTTTATGAGAAGAGGTGCTTACAGAGCCACAGTCCATAAGGAAAGCTCCTTCCCTTGTCAGCTTCTCTGCAGACAATTTTTGAAGAGGTGGCTGAGGAACTACTCTGTCATTAACATGTATTGCACCCTGAAAAGAAAAAGAATGTGAATGAGCTTTTATTGCTATCATTAGTTTGAAAACGAATGGCCATTTATCTTTATGAAATACTGAAAAATGACATTTGAGAATTTTGTAGAATGTAAACAATTATTGATTAATACATCATCATCATGGCTATGCAATCAAGAGAGTCAAATATATTCAAATTGTAAAGGCAAAACCATGAATATGTAAAACAAGCTGTCACATTTATCTTTTGGGGTCCGGATATAGTAAAAAACAATTGAGTCTACCGCATACCTAGCTAGTTTTTTATGTTCCTCTAGTAAGATAATACAGAAAAGATTTCAAACACAAGGAAGAAAAGAAAACAATACATATTTGCATACTAGAATTATATAGTGGAATACCAAATCTGGTTTACATTATGATCAAAATTGCAATCTGATCATATCAGAAATAGTATCTACAAAACATAGATGGAAATATTCACTCTATAAGTTAGCTTTGTAACAAATATTATATACAAACCTAGAAAGTGAATTGCTTCCCATATAAAACCAATTTTGAAAACTCAATAACCATAGATAGTATCTGATACCCTACCACCCAATCAAATCCATAGCTAGTGTTCTTATTTAATGTGTTACTACCATAAAGAGGGAAAGAACTATTGATAATACATTATCATATTAGCTGTAGAATCAAGACACTCATCTGTATTCAGATCAAAAAATTTCAAATGCACAAAAAGTCTTACCTCATCTGTCAATCTGTCTATCCTGTATAAGTTAGGATGAATCATTTTCATTAGATGAACAAGTGGCTGTGACTTTATCTGGCACATGGCATACACACGATCATCCAGGCGTGTGCTTGTACCAGTTCTAAACGCTTTCTGCAAGAAAAAATATGTAAGTTTTTCAAGTAAAATAGAAGTACAGTGGAAAAACACTAAAACAAATATATACTATCAATCATGGAAAAAGTATGGACTTCAAAGTCAGGCAGACTTGACACATAATAGGTAGGTATGTGACACTGAGCAAGTTATGTAGCTCCTCTGAGCTATACTGTTATCAGAAGGAAAATGGAAAATAATCTCTGTAAGCTGTTGTAAGGGTGAATTAGATGGTTATTACCTATACAACAGGAGGTCTGACACAGAGAAAGATGTTCAATAAATATTAGATTTTTGCCTTAGAGTCTCTTTCAAGAAACATATATCAAGAATGTGTTATGATCACATCATTATTCAAACTGCTCACACATATTAAAGAAAGAAGGCATGTGGTTTCATAAGAGTCACGCATTTGTACACCTCTGCTTTCTGCTGATCTTTTCCTATTCTTCAAAACTCTTCAAATGCTAAATAGCATAAATGTCTAATTAACTGTTTTTTAAAAATCTATATTTCATTTTTCACCTATGTAGGTGAAAATTAAAAGAAAAACTTCATTACATTTAATTGTACATAGAGAGCTACCTGTTTGAGAAGAGCCAAAACATACAGAGGAAACAACTTGAGGGAGCTGGGTGCTATCAGTGCAGAGTGTTGTAAATTTGAGACAGTTGAGCCATATGCAGATAATGAATCCACCACCGCATTCACTAAGGCATCTCTTGCATCTGATAGACTTGATGATATTGATCGATCCACAGCTATAATCAACCAAAATAAAAAGATATTTAGCCATTACATTCCAATGAATGCTGTAAGAGATAACATTTCCATGTGTTACTTAAAAAAAACAAAAATTCCAATTGTTGGATAAAAATATACATATTTCACTTGTCCCCTCATTTCACAAATGTCTTATCACACAGAGCTTCTTAACTAAATCTGACTGAATAAACTGGACACCTGAACAAGTCTACAATCTTCTGTACTTACTTATTTTTTAATCTCTCAAGTATGAAAACACTAAGCCACTATTAACATTGGAGAATGTGTATCATCTATCTACTTCTGAGAAAGCCCTGGGGGTACTTCCATTACTCAAATGAAAGCCCAAGTATAACTTATCATTTGTTCCTGTACAACAAATGTAAATTCCTCAATCTGAGATATCTCTTATGATCCTCTAAAACCTTCCTTGTCAAAGCATTCTCATGTCAATAAATAAAACAGAGCAAACTGAACATAGGCTTTCTCAGACAGTGGGAGCCAGATCTCAGAATCAAATTTATTTTTCTGCAAGTACACAATTTACTAAAATATAGAGATAATCTATCCAGATGCCCAAGTATTAAAAATAAAATTACACTGAAAAACCATCAAGGTTTTTATATCCTATGAGGATATAATTAATTTGAAATCTAGATATAAAATAACTCTTAAAATTGAGATCCTTCAGTAAATGCTATTTTAATTCTCCATGAAATGAGTAACACTGACTGCTTTTCGTCAAGATTATTTGGGAAATAGCAAGGTTCATTTCACGTCTAAGTTCATTAAATAACGAAACAAAAACCCTCAATGCTATATTAATTCCTTAAAAGACTGTTTTCTGTTTTTAACTTATATACAATAAAACTTAATGTTTTGGTGTATGCTTCTATGGTCGTTATGTGTCAAATGCAGTCATACAATCACCACCAGAAGATACAGAAACAATTCCATACTACCTAAAAATCACTTTGTAGTAAAACTCTTCCTCTATTTCTCCCTACCCTTGGCAATCACTTATCTAGTCTCCATCCCTGTAATTTTCCCTTTGCTAGAATGTCATATAAAGGGAATCAAATGTATGTATTTTTTTAGGTCTACATTCTTCCACTTAGCATAATGCTAAATAAGTCATCATGTTTGTCCATGAATCAACAGTTAATTCTTTTTCATTGCTGAGTTGCATTCCATTGTATGGATGTGCCAGTTTGTCCATACATCATCAGTTGAAGGACATTTGGGTTGTTACTAGTTTTAGTAATTATGAATCTCCAAAAGATTTTTAAAGTAAAGAATTAGTAAGAAATACAACAGCCTAATTAATTCACACAGCTGTAAATGTAGAACAAATACTTTTAAAATAAGGGATTTCTAGGATTAAAAAAAATGCCCCAAACTTCAGCTTTTAGGATAGAAAACTACACTTCATGGGCTCCCTCACTTTTTCACTCACCCATATTTGCTAGAAGACAGATGGCAGCTTGTACATCCACTCCAGCATATACATCTGCTAGTGAACTTACCACTGGCAAACAAAGTGTATGTACTCTGATCCTCCGTTCACCTAAACAAAACAATGAACAAATGTCATTGTAAAATATATTAGACCAAGAAATAAATAAAATGAACAGGCCAAAATTTTATTCAAGTTATTGTTTTGGCTAGATTAAACAAGCAACAAAAGTTTGAAATGTATAAACAAAGCTTTACATTTAACAGGTTTTAAAGAAAATGAAACTCTCTCTGAAGTCCTTCGGTGGTGCAAACAGTTAATGCACTCAGCTGTTAACCAAAAAGTTGGAGGTTCAAGTTCACCCAGAGTCATTTTGGAAGAAAGGCATGGAGCTCAACTTTTGAGATTCAACCACTAAAAACTGTTCTACTCTGTCACACCTTGTGTGTGCCAGGGGTCACCCTGAGTCAGAGTCAACTCTATAGCAACAGATAAATGTTCCAACTTTGAAGACAGACTTCTTGTTGTTGTTATGTGCCGTCGAGTCCGACCTGACTCATAGCTATCCCTCCTTGGGTTTCCAAGGCAGTATCACTACGGAAGTAGATTGCCCCACCTTTCTTCCGAGGAGTGGCTGGTGGGTTTGAACCACCAGCCTTCTGGTTAGCAGTCAAGTGCCTTAGGCACTAAGCTACCAGAGCTCCTGAAGACAGACTATGAACATACAATATATTATGTATCGAATTGAAAATCAGGTTTTGTTTTTTATTTTCATGTCACTCATTTTAAATTATATACAATAGTTAAATACAAGAAAAATAAATAATAAATGTATGCCTTCACTGCTATGAAGAATTTTTTATTTTACAGGGCAAGAAATAATGCTAAGGATGGCACAGCTAGATTTAGCATGAGATTTTTACTAGAAACATATGTGCCTGGGAACACAAGAATTCCAGGAGTCAAGAAGATATTATTTAAGTTGCAAAAATAAGAGTTAAAAAAAAGAACATATATTTGAGTAAATAATGCACATTCTATTACTTCCCACTGTATGTTCATTCTTTTTCCCCACTTCACTAACAAGCATGTGAAAAGAGGGGTGAATTACTACTGCAGGCTATATTTTATTTCTGTTATTAATGTTACCTTTGCTTGATGTATATAATAGGGCTGTTTGAAAGCACACTAATGAAGTATCTGTCAAATTTTCTTCAATCGATAGCTGTACTGCAAATCCAGCATCAGGATTGATGTTGGCCAGGGATAACAAATCAGTAGAACGAACAAAGAAGTTTCCATGAAAAGTGTGCATTGAAAGACCTAGAAAGCAGAAAACTAGATATAAAAGATGAAATAACCCTACTATGTTTACCTCAGGCTAAAGTTACTTTTAAAAAACAAAGATGCCTCTAAATTTGAATCAAAAGGATAACTAATGGAGAAGGCAGGGTTAGAGTAAGGATTGAGGTTCTAAAATACTAATTCACAAAACCAATGTAGGTTATATAGAAGTTAGACTGTGTATTTAATTGTATTGAAAACTACTAATCTTGTATTTTCCCATATGATTTTAAGGCAGACAATGAACAAACACACAAAATTAAACAAATGAGGGTTACTGTGCAACTCAATTTAGGTTTAAAGTAAGGGAATAGAATCCCTCAAGCAAATATTCATACAAAACCAAAGAAATGTATATTGAGAATTATTTAAATGCTTATGCGGGCAAAGAACCTTAATTTGACGATTTTAAGATCTTTCCTATTTCCTTAATTCTCCTTTTAAAATCAATTCCAACATGGGTAAATCATTACTTTTGCCCTCTCAAGTTATATAAAAATAACTGGGTAACAATTAAGTAACAAGTATATACACTTAAAACAGCAGGCGACTGCCTGGATCAAACAGTAAAATCTTCTATAAGAAGTCTTCATCATGGGTGTTAACTGCGACACAAGTGTGCAGCATAAAGCATAATTTTTATAATTTCATACCTTTAGTACACCTTATTCTCATAACAGCTTCAAATCCAATTTTTCTTGTGAGATAACGTTTTAGGTCTTTTTGTAACTTCTCTGCTTGTGAAGGATTGTGAGTATAGTGGAAAGATGGGTAATAATAGATGCACCCTGCAGAATACTTGGACATACAAGCTTTAGAGAGAAATTGTAAAAAGTATTAGCTATAGAAACAGTAATATTCTACTTGTCCACATTGTAGTACAGATCCTACATTTTGAAGAAATTTACATTATAATGAGAAAACCTAGGCTGTCAAAAAGGAATATATAAATCTGAGCAAACAGAAACATTTGTTAAATATAACTTACATAATAAAGTTTACTGTTGAGCAGAATGGTAAGTGAATCACAGTACATCTATCCTCAAATGCTAACCTATAGTTTGGGAGTTAGAACCCACTCAGCAGTACCACAGAAGAAATGGTCTGGAGATCTGCTTCTATTAAGGTTATAGGCAAGGAAACTCTGTGGAGCAATTCCACTCTGAAACACATGGGGTCACCATGAGTTTGAACAGACTCAATGGCAACACAACAATGACAACAACATGGTGCTTTCACAGTTTACAAATAATTTTCTTGGATACTATCTTTTAATACACATGCCTTGCTACCCAAAATACTGAGAGTGGGTAAGTTTAGATTTAATCATGTGTTAAAAATGTTTATGTAAAAGCATAAAACCAACCATATTTCCTTACCTAGAGAAGCAAGATCAGAATACTGTGAACTTAAAAGGAACAGATCCACTGCAGTCTGCTGCCCTGAGCAATCTAAAGCGAGTTTCTTATAAAAATCAGTTGCAGGGCCAAGGTGTTGTACAATCTAAGAAAAACAGATCACAAAGTAACAGCTAGGAAACTTTAATTATGCACATATTTCTATTGCTCTCTTATAATAAGGAAGAAGATATCCTTTGTCCCCTACCAAACCAAGGAGCTTTTTCAATGCCCAGGCGCTGGCATATTTCCAATAATAATAACAGCATTCATAAAGCAATTATTGTATACCAGCACTGTTTGAGATATTTTATATAAATTAACTTATTTTATCCTCATACTGGTATATATCTCAGGGGTTTTATTACCTACATTTTATAGATGAGGAAACTGAGACACACGATAATTGACCAAGATTAAACAGCTATCGACTGATGGATACTAGACTACAAACCCAAGCAGTCTGACCAGAGTGAGTGCTGTTTAACCATTATTCCAACCGTAATTGCATAGTATTAAATAACAACATGAAAAAGTAACAAATTAAGGAAGATTTTTTTTCCTATTAGTATAAGGAAACTTGAGCTGAGGCAATGGCACTGAAGACCAAAAGAGTTAAAAATGTAAGACAGAGGCTTCAAGTTATTAATCATTAATTTATATTGTACTACAAAATGTTTTAATCCTTTTAATTATAATATTATCATTATAATAGACTTTATTCAGATATGTAGAAATATGTATAGCAGATACTTAAGCTTCTGAAGTCCAGACAGACAGAGAATATTTTTGAAAGTCAAATGAGAAAAAAAAATTGTATCAAAGAATTCAGTACATATATAACAGCTTTCTCTGTTCAAAATTCTTTGTATTCTATAACTATTAGAGCAATGAACTGAATGCTAGCTATACTTGTTAATGAATTAAAAAATATATATATTTGCCCTAATTTATTTGAAAATTAGAGTTTTTCTCAAAAGGAATTTAAAAGTACAATTTCTTCAAAAATTAAAATATGACATCATTCTCTAGCTAACTGGTAAAGAATAAAAAAGCAATGATATATAATGGTGACTAGAGGATGAGAGACTACGAGTGCATATTGATTTAAAAAAACAAACAGTAAGTAAAATACATTAATAATTTAAATATAAAGTTTATGCTCTTTGAACCAGTAATTTCACCTCTAGGAATTTACCTTAAGGAAAAATTGAACAAGTGACTAAAATTTATGACACTATAAAAACCCTATCTAATTCAAACTTGTAACTAGTTTTAATGGTATTTTCTCATACACAGTTTGAGGTCAGACAGAATTCACATACAAAACAATGATGAATGTTCACATTCATATATTACTTGAAATAAAGGATGAAAACACCCGGACTACACTTTCATGAAAAATCCAAGTAATGTTTAGCCTCATATTTTTTTTTTTTTAATAGTGCGAATACAGAGACAACGTAAGTATTCAATGACTGCAGGGCAGTTAAATAGAGTACTTTTCATATTTACTAAATATTATTACATTTTTAGAGAATTTTTAGGAATGTTAGAATATGTCCACAATACGCTCTTCAATGGAAAAAGTCAGTTAAAAAAATACATGTACAAAGCTCAATTATGCTTATTTGTGTTATGTGTATACCACTAAATAGTATCATAAGCATGAGATGATTGATGATAATTTTTTCCACTAAGTTTTATACACTGATCTGTATTACCTTGATAATTAAATAAATTTTTCAAAAATTTATACTTAAAATCTATATAGTATAAAATTTTGCTCATCCTACATATGGCACTTTTTAAAAGGATATTATTTTGAGCATGCTAAACTCTATCACCTTCAGAATTGGTAAATATTATCATTTATGTAATACAAAAGTACACTGGAGTCAGAAAATCAAGTCACATCTTTACCATTAAATAGTTATGTACCTTTACCAAAACACTTTAACCTGTTTCATCATCTTTAAAAGAGAAGGTCTGAGTAAATAATTTCTAAATTTTTATGACTTGCAAACAAAGTAATAAAAAGATCACACTGCAATGCAAAAACCAAAAGATAATCTGAGTTAAATTCTCTTACTAGTTTATTATTATTATTAATGAAGTAGAAAAGTAGCATAATGGACAAAAGATTAGAATCTACAGGTAGAAACTACCATCTTGAATATGATAGAGAAACTAATATAAAATACCTTTGTACTCGATCTCTGATTGGGGTCTTCTCTGGACTGTAGAAGTCCTGCACCCATGGAAGGTAACTGTGTCTGAAATACAGACACACGGCCACCTGTTGGAGACATTAATTTAAAGGCAGCCTGAAGCGCAGGACCAAGGGCACTGTGTGTTTCTCTTGTATTGGTGAACATATTTGGTAATGCATTCAATAAGTCTTTTATAAGCTGGGAAAACAAAGATTAAAAGTTGAATTACTGAGAAGGTAAGGCAGTATTTCTCTTTAAAACATTCCAGATTGTATTATATGCCACTGCAGGTCATTTCAGGGAACTCTAACTGAGGAGTCAACAGATATGCTACCTACATTATTTGTTTGCAATATTAATATACCAAGGAAAAAAATGCTAAGCATTTTAGTAGATGGTTAAAATAACAAGTATTTTAATATTTTAAGAAAAAGTCAATCTCACCTCTTTACTTTCATATAGATTCACAAGTAAGCTATCCGGTGTAGGCAGGAAAACATCTGTGTGGAAAACATGTATTTTCATCAATAAATCAAATAGAAACAATTATTTTTTAAAAAGCTTAGTTTATATCAGGTCACACATGTAATGTGTACTATAATACTGCTGTATTAAATATGTATTATATATATCTATGCACACACACTGTTTTCTTATGAAAAAACAAAACAAAACCCATTGTCATTGAGTCAATTTCAACACATAGTAACCCTCACTGGGTTTCTAATGCAGTAAATATTTACAGAAGTAGATTGCCCCATCTTTCTTCTGTGGAGCAGTCAGTGGGTTTAAATTGCCAGTCTTCTGGATAGCAGTCACATGCCTTAGGTGCCGCTCCACCAGAGCTCCTTATGTTTATATAAACTCTCTGTATATTAGATACACATATGTCTATGTGGGGCGTGTGAGTGTGTACGTATAGGGGGACACACACATGTACAGATGTACTCAGAATGAAGTATTTTAGAGGGATATATATATAATTATTTAAAAATGAATACAAGAGTATACTAAATTACTCTTGCAACATACAACAGATTATACTGTAAAATACAAAAGCCCCAATTCCAAAGTCTATAGTTAGAAAGATTTATTTTGCTCACTTCTTACCATCTATATCAGACACAATCAACATCTGAGGCTGTGATAATCCTTCTTGTAAGTTGTAGAAATGAATAGTGCTATCAAAGGTCATGAATCCTATTCTTGTTCTTGAATCTCCAGGAAGCCTAAAGGAAAAAGTAATTTTACATTCCAAGTGCTCAACAACATAGTTTATTTCAAAAATAAAAATGGTAAACTTTTTTGTTGTGGTTGTTGTTGTTATATACTGCTGAGTTGAGTCTGACTCAGAGAGACCCTGGATGACAGAGAAAAATTGCCCCACAGGGTTTCCTAGCCTATAATCTTTACAGGAGCAGAGTGCCATGCCTCTAAAGCTGCTGGTGGAGTCAAACCACCAACCTTGTGGTTAGCAGTCAAGTGCTTAACCAAGTTGTGCTACCAGGGCTCTGTAAACTTATTAAATATACTTTTTTTTTTAAATAAGGGGCAGAAAAATTATCCTTTAAACTAAACTACTATACATTAGAAAAGGGCAAGGATTCCATTTTTAGAAAAAATTACGTATTTAAAATTCATTCATACCACAGAAAACTGAACTATGTAAGTGTTTTGGCTATCTTGTGATGGTCTAACAGAAATATCACACATGGGATGGTTTTAGCAAATAGGGATTTATTCTCTTATAGTTTAGGAGACTAGAAGTCTGAGTTCAAAGTGCCAAGTTCTAGGGGCTAGGTGAAGGCCCTTCAACCTTGGGCTTCAGCTCTGCCTCCTGCTCCCAGCCCACTAGAAGTGTCTCTTCACTCAGGCAGTTGCTGGCTGCCGAGGCTGACAAACCCAAGGTCAACAAATAAAATGGCACACTCCCAAGATTACCAAGCAACATGGCAGGTTACTAGTTCATGTCCAGAGATAGTCTTGAAATTGGCAGGAAACACGTCAGGCTGCTGACTGAAGACTTGGCTACATGCAGGGTCCAAGCATTGCCAAAAAGTTGCAGAGACCTTTCTCAGTGCTTCTCCTTATATACTGGAAGCAGACCACATCCCCAAGGAGCAACTCAGCTGCTCCAGTAGATTCCACCATGGAGTTGATTACCAGTTGAATAACTACATCCAGCTATCCTATCCAGCCACTCAAATTCAAGCCCAGCCAAGGGGACACATAACCCTAACTACCAGAGTCAGTATTTGGTAAGAATCAAAACTAAATATGAAATGATTAAAGAAACAATCAGATAATTCTTGCAAGCCTCCTTGGAAACACACTCTTTTAAGTGAAAAGTTATTCATATTTTTAGTTCCCATGTTACAATAGTACATTCTGTTTAAACCTAAACGGCAGAATGACAAATGAGTACTTTGTGAGAAGACTTGAACATAACACAAAGCAGATTTTAAAGTGTAAAATTCTAAATAAAAAGTACATTTAAGGATATAAAAATATTTCATCTATCATTGATCTTTTAAAAATCATCATTTGTCAAACTTTCCTTACTGATACGGATATCTTCTTGAGTATATTTCTGAGTACCATCAACTATGTTGACTTCACTTATGCATTTTGTTCTTTAGCAATGCCTTTACGATGTTTCTGAATATTAAAGGATGCCAAAATAGAACATTCATCAAAGCAATAAGCATTATTACTATTATGCACGATCGTTCAGGCTGCTCAGATAGCTTCCAAGCTAGGTCAGAAAGCATTTCAGAAAACAGAATGAAACAAATTATATGGTTGTTCAGCTTACCAATACTGGTCAAGATTGATAATGTTTCTGTAAGTTAACTACACTTCACCAAGATCTCTAAGGTTAATAAGGGCTGTTTGATACCCATTAGAACAGAGACAACTGGCTTATCCTAACCTCAAATTTGAGATGAGCTTTTTCAAAAGAAGTGTCCAGAACTCTTTCCAAAAACATCTTACTATATTATTGCTATCTTATCACATTTATTTATTTTTTATTGTGGTGAAAATACATATAACAAAGCCTATACCATCTCACTGTCACATTTACTTAAAAAAATTTCCCAATGCTTCTCTTTTCTCCTATAATCAAATATAAACATTTTTTAAAAAACTATTTTCTAGTCCCAATTTTATCTTGTTTTTGTGTAATCTGTTCAATTTGCAGTCACTCATCTCTGTATAATTTGTCACAGCTGTTCTTATTTCTGAGGCTTACGTTTTTCCAGCAAGCTAACTCTTTAAAGCCTTAAAAAGGCTTTCTCTGCACTGAGTGGTCTTCCCTTGTCACTCTTTACTAAAGCTATTTCTGAAGTAAGTAGCTGTGGCGAAAATAAGGGTACCTACTTTGATCAAGGGGAAATACATGAAAACTCCTAAGCTACAAACAGAATCTAAAAGCAAATCGTTCAAAATCTCTGGGTATTTTCATCTTAACAATGTTATCATTTTCAGTCATAGGATAATGATAAGCAGACTATGGGGACTAGACCTAGCATTCAAAAGAGTAAGGGCTTTAAAATTCAAATTGGAGGAGGGCTAGAACTTTCTAGAATCACCCAGAATACTTCTGACATCTCTACACATGTCAAGAACCACTGCAGTAATGAACTATTCTTACTGACAATGTTATGTCATATCTCTTGGAGTGCTGGAGCAAAAAAAGAAATGTAAAAATAAATTTGCTTTCCAGAGATTTGGAAGCTTCACTTTTTTTTTTTTTTTAAATGCATTTTGTTGTGTTGTTGTTGTTATGTGCTGTCAAGTTGGACCCGACTCATAGCGACCCCTCCTTGGGTTGCCGAGGCAGTATCACTACGGAAGTAGATTGCCCACCCTTCTTTCCGAGGAGTGGCTGATGGGTTTGAACCACCAGCCTTCTGGTGAGCAGTCAAGTGCCTTAGGCACTATGCTACCAGAGCTCCTTTATTGAAATATAATTTATGTACAGTAAAATACACAAAACTAAAGTGACATGAGTTAATGCTTTTTTTTTTTTTTTTTGCAGGGTTCCTCTCCCCTCCCATGCCTGGCAAACAACAAAGAAATTTGCCCTCCATATATGAATCATTCCTTGACCCTCCACAACAACAAACTAATACTATATTTATCCTCAGCATAATATCCTTCAAGTGCATCCATATTATGCAGTGTTTTGTAGACTCTACATTATTCTTTAGTGCTGCACAGCATTCCATTATGTGTATGTACCATAGTTTGGTCATCCACTCTTCCACTGATGGGCACATAGGTTGTTTCCATCTTTTTGCTATTGTAAATAGTGCTGCAATGAACATGAGTGTGTATATATATGTTCCTGTCCTGGCTCTCACCTCTCTAGGATATATACCTAGTAATGGGATTGCTGGGTCAAATGGTATCTCCAATTCCAGCTTTCAAAGGAATCACCATATTGCTTTCCACAGTGGCTGTATTACTTCACAGTCCCACCAGCAGTGTATGAGAGTCCCAATCTCTCCATATCCCCACCAGTATTTGTTATTTTCTGTCTTGTTGAACCTTGGCATCAGTGCTGGGATGAGATGGTATCTCATTGTTTTGATTTGCATCTTTCTGATGGCCAATGATTGTGAGCATCTCTTCATGTATTAGCTGGCCACCTGACTATCCTCCTTGGTGAAGTGTCTATTCATGTCTTCTGCCCATTTTTCAACTGGATTGTTAATTCCTTTGGTGTTGAGGCATTGGAGTTTTCTATAAATCTTAGAGATAAGTCCCTTGCCAGATATGTAATTATTGGCAAATATAAATTTGTTGTGTCATTTTTGTTATGTGCTTTATCGTGGTGTCGATTTCTTGGTTCCATATAATTTTCTATGCTGAGCTCATGTTATTTATGAATCGTGTTATCACTTCTTTTGTTGCTGTTGTTTTAGTATTTGCTAAATATTTGTGCTGGTCCTCTTTTTTATTTTGATGCGAAGGTTTATAATTTTTCTTTGAGGTTACCCTGTGATTTATAGTTTTCTTCCCAAGTTTAGAACAGTCAGTCCTATCTTGTAGTTGTCTTGACATCCCTACCATCGAGAAGTTCTGTAATGACACAGTTTTTTTCCTCTTTTTGGTTTATAGTTGTCCTCATTTGTCAGTTGGTATCTCTGGTTCCCTGTTTACAATCTTGTAGGCTTCTTTGGATACTTCCATAGCTGGACTGGTTTATGGGTTATATCATTATGTGTGTTAATGGTCAGTTGTTATTGGCTGTTGTTGCTTCTCTGTCCAAAGGACTCCTTTGAGCATTTCTTGTAAGGCTGGTCTGGTTTTAACAAATCCCCTTAATTTCTACTTATCTGGAAATGTCCTAATTTCACCATCATATTTGAGGGACAATTTTGCTGGGTACATAATTCTTGGCTGGAAATTTTTCTCTTTCAGGGTTTTATATACACCATCCCACCGTCTTCTCGCCTGCACGGTTTCTGCCAAGAAATCCGAGTTTAGTCTTACTGGTTACCCCTTATAGGTAATTTTTCGTTTTTCCTGTGCTGCTCTCATGATTCTTTCTTAGTCTTTGGTTTTGGTGAGTTTGATGACTCTTTGGTCTTGGTGATTTTCTTCTGGGGTCTATCCTGTTTGGGGTTCACTGGACTTCCTGAATGGATATGTTCTCATCTTTTATCAGATCAGGGAAGTTCTCTTGCAACAGTTAATCTTCGACAATTTTCTCAGTGGTTTTATTTTCCTCTTCCTGTTCTGGAATTCCAATGACACGTAGGTTATTCCTTTTGATGGTAACCCACATGGACCTTAGGCTTTCTTCCTTTTGTTGTGATCTTTTTTCTGCTTGATCCCAAAGAAGTATTCAGGTATTTGTCTTCAATCTCATTAATTCTGTCATCCATTGCATCAATTCTTCTACCTTTGCCCTTTCAATGTGTTATCTATTTCTGACATTTAGTATTAATCTTCTGGATTTCTATCTGTAGATTTAGAATCATTTCTAATTTTTCTTTTGTCATTTTGTTCTTAAAT